ACAATTGCCTCAGTTTGCTGTGCCGAGTCCGACAGCTTCTCTCGCTTTCAGGAAGGAGATCCCGAGAGAAATGGACTGGTAAATGACGTTCCTCACAGATTATCGGTGAGATTATTTGCGGGATGGGAAGGAAAGGATTATGCTTACCAACCATTTACCGAAATGCAACCCACTCGCCCGAAATGCAACCCACTCGCCGGTGCCAATTTAGCACCATCGCCCACACTTCCGGCCGCCGCGCCGGCCCACGCATGCGCGTCTCCGGCCGCCGCACCGGCCTAGCCACGGGCGGTCCCAGCCGCGGTCGGAGGGGGGACGGCTCAGGATACCACACCTCACCCCCCTTTACATAAACACAAATGACACTCCCAAGAGAAGAACCAATGAAACGAAAACTGCACACAGAGAAAACAACTTCATCCCGCCGCACAGACTCAATCGACGAGACCACCGCGCGCCGATTAGTGCCCATCAGCATAAAAAACTACACACCGCCACAGAGACACTTCCGACTGCGAGCACCACCTCTGCGCGTCGAGCGGCGCGGAGTGCCCGGCTGCGCGCGGCGCCGTGGGCTGCCAGCCCGACCGGTCGGTCCGGCCTCCGCCTCCGACGCTAGTCCGTTGAGGTCCGGCTCACCAGCACTGGCTCCCCCGCCGCCCGCAGGCTCTCCGGTTCCGGCTCCTCCGCCTCCCGCCAGCTCGCCTCTGCCGTCCGCCGTCGGCCCGATGGCTCCGGCTCCTCCGTCGTCCGTGCTCGCCTCCACGGTCGTCCGCCCGCTCGGACCATCCGACTCTTCCGTCGTCTGACGGCTCGCCTCTGCCTCCGTCTGCTGACTCGTCGGCACCGGCTCCTCCGTCGTTCGCCGGCCCGTCTCCTCTATCGGCTCCTCTGTCTCCGCCGCCGTCTGCCGACTCGACAGCTCCGTCTCCTCTGTCTTCTGACGGCTCGCCACTGTCGACGCCCGCCGACTCGGCCGCTCCGGCCCCTCAGTCTTCCGCCGGCTCGTCTCTTCTGCCGTCTGCCGACTCGACAGCGTCGGGTCTTCCGTCCGCCGGCTGCCCGGATCCACCTCAGTCCCCGGATCCGCCTCCGTCTCCGGATCCGCCTCCGTCCGCTGGCTTCCCGGATCTGTCTTGGCCCGCCGGCTCCACGGAACCACCTCCGTGCGCCGGCTCCCCAGATCTGACTCCGTCCGCCGGCTCCCCGGATCTGACTCCGTCCGCCAGCTCCCCGGATCTGACTCCGTCCGCCGGCTCCCCGGATCTGACTCCGTCCGCCAGCTCCCCGGATCTGACTCCGTCCGCCGGCTCCCCGGGTCCGCTGCCTTCCGCCGGCTCCCCGGAACCACCTCCGTCCGCCGGCTACCCGGATCCGCTGCGGTCCGCCGGCTCCACGGATTCACCTCCGTCCACCGGCTTCCCGGATCCGTCGCCGCCCGCCGGCTCCGCGGATTCACCTCCGTCCGCCGGCTTCCCAGCTCCGCCTCCTCACGGCCTTCGCCGGCCGCAGCGGTGCTGCCTGGCGCCGCCGACAGGAGCTGGTCGCAGTAGCGCGACCACAGACTGCCTCTGCCGGCATCCACCTCGTACGAGACGGGTCCGGTCCGCGTCACAATCCGGCCGCGGACCCACTTCTGTGACCCTCCGTAGCACCGGGTCCACACTTCCGCACCGACTCCGAACGTTCTCCCTCGGTTGCCGGCTGCCGTCCATTGCCGCTCCGTGCTGCCTCGGAGTGCTGCGTAGTGCCGTCCAGCGCCACCGCGGTCCCGACGGACTCGCCTCCCGGCGCCGCCGCCGTCCCGACGCACTCCGCTCCCGGCGCCGCCGCAGTCGCAAACGACTTGACTCCCGGCGCCGCCGACTCCTTCGTGGTCACCAGAGCGACCTCCGATCCTGAGGTCACCCGCGCGGCCTCCGGCTCCCTCAGAGCCCCGACGCCTGCCATCGCCGCGGCGCCTGTCACCTCCGCCAGCGCACCGGCGCCCAGCGGCCTCCCGGCGCCCGCCACCGTCTCGGCACCCCTTGCTCTCGCCGCCGTACCGGCGCCTGCCGGCTTCGCCAGCGCCCCGGCGTCCACCAGCGTCTCGGCGCTCACCCGTGTCCCGGCGCTCACCAGTGCCCCGACGCTCACCAGCGTCTCGGCGCTCACCAGTGCCCCGACGCTCATCAGCGCCCCGACGTCCACCAGTATCTCGGCGCTCGTCAGCGCCCCGACGCCCACCAGCGTCCCGACGCCCGCTGTCATCCCGACGTCCACCAGCATCCCGGCGCCCGCTGTCGTCCCGGCGCTCCTTGCTCCCGCCGGTGTCCCGGCGTCCGATTCCTCCACCGGCGTCTCGCAGCGCCAGCGGCACCGGACGCGCCCGCCGGTACATCGGCTTGGCGTCCGACTTCAGCTGCAGTCCCTCCTTGATCGGGATGCGTCCCAGCTCCTCGTTGAAGACAGCTGAGTGTCTCTCCAGCCCGCCTTCGAGCGTCCGCGCCGGCTGCACGCGGCATACCCGAGCCTGTGACGTCATCAGACCAAGCGCCTGCAGCCACTCGCGTCCCATCAGCGGACGGTGGGGTCCCAGCCCGGTCACCACCAGCCGCAGACGGGTCGCGGGTCTTCCCGACGCCGTGACGCTGACCCGCACCTCCCCTCTCAAGGGAATGACCTGACCTGTGAACGAGGTCAGGCGCAGGTCACACGGGTCCAGCAGCTGCAGAAGCCCCCGCTGCCGCGCTGTCTCCGCGCTCACCAGCGACACCGGGCTCCCCGTGTCCACGACCATGGCCAGCTGCTGGCCGTTCACCGTCACCGTCTTCATTTCTGGCTCCGCAGCGCTGGCTTCGACTGAGTTCACCAGCCACGCGTCGCCGCCGACTGAGCTCACCAGCCACGCGTCGCCGTCGCCGTCCGTCTGTTCCTCCTCCGCAGCCACCAGCCGCACCCGCCGCTGCGGACACGCCGCCTTCAGGTGCCCGGTGGAGCCGCACTTGAAGCATCGCCGTTGCCTGGGTCCTCCATCGCTGCCGCTGTTGCCCGGCGCGCCCCGGCCGTGTTCTCCGGCCGCTCCGCTGCGTCCGCCGCTGGCCGCCTGGCCAGCCGGACAGCGGCTGTCACGGGCGCGCGGCACAGCTCCCGCAGCAGGACAGTCTCGTTGCCAGTGGCCCCGGCCGCCACAGCGGAAGCACGTGCCGAGCCGTGACTGGGGCGACCTCACGGCATTGACGGCTCCCTCGGCATCTGCTGCCGGTGCCACGGCCAAACGCGTGCCGCCCAGCTGAGCACCGAGCTGCTCCATGTCCCGGTGCGCGCGTGCCGTCTGCCGTACCTCGGCCAGGGTCAAACCGTCGCCCTTCGAGGCGGCCAGCTTTACCAGCTTGGCCCGCAGATCGGCTCGGCTCCCCAGCACGCACCGATCGCGCAGCTCCCGGTCCAGTTCAGTGGCTGCATAGCCGCAGCGCACGACCTGCGCTCGCAGACGTCCCAGGAACCTCTCCAGGTCCTCTTCCGGCTCCATCTGCATCCCGTGGAACAGAGAGCGCTCTGCCACCGCGTTCCTGACCGGAGACAGGTAGGTCGTCAGCTTCCTCTGGAGCCGCTCGAAGCTGTCGGCCGTCTCGCTCGTCTCCTCCGGCAGAGTCTCGCTGAGGTCGGCAACATCCGGCCCGACCAGGTGCAACAGCACCGCACACTTCCGGTCGGCCTCCTGGATCCCGACCGCACACAGGTAACGCTCGACACCGCGCAACCACCGGCCGAAGTCGTCGCCCTGCCGAAACGACTCCACCGCCGGCATCGACAGTCCCGTGTTGTTCATCCTGATCCCGGGCTGAGCTGCCTGCCCTGATCACAACACCCCGACCGCCGCCGCGAACTCCGGCAGTCGTCGCTATCCCGGCCTTCTCGACGCACCCGGCCGTCACCGCACTCCGGTCCTCTCCCGGCCGCCGCTCTCCACTCCACTCCTCTCCTCTCCCCGACCGCCCGGCCGCCGGTCCCTGGCGCCGCCTCTGTCGTCGTTTCCCGCGCTTTCTCCGGCGGGGGAGTCACGTGACTGTGACGCCACAATCACGTCACCGAGCGGAGAGTCCCGACCAATCACCGCGCGCCGTGACAGTCTTACGTCACCACCGGCCGGCCCAATCACAGCGCAGCCCGCCGACGCCAGCCACTGCGTCGACCGCGCAACATGGCCGCTGCCAAAATCCGGCGAAAACACGCACGTGTGTCACCACCGAGCAACGGGCAAACCGAACACATGCAGCAGCGAAAAAAAAAACTAAGCACTAAGCAATTAGCAATTCGCTCCGCATCTCACCGTTCGTCCTCCGTGCCCATCCGCTCTCGCCCGCCACCGCGCACCAGCACTAAACACTCGCGAGACATCTGATCCTGGTCGCCAGGGTGTTCTGTCGTGATTCTGTCCTCGCCTCGCGTCGACCAGAGAGCGGTACGGAATGGCACACTTCTGTATTAGTCCGACACACCCGGCACGGGACTCCCCCGTGCCGGCTCCCCGTCCAGACACAAGGTATATAAAAACACTAGGTAACACCGAAAAATTCCTTCAACATGAAGGCAACGGGTTCAGGTCTTGACAACTAGTGCTAGCATGATTTGCAAGATACTTGCTACGTGACTACTTTACAGATTTTCCTAATACTTTGCTATTACTTATGTTTCGCGATTTAATAAAGACATATTTTTAGTTATCCTCATTAAAATTCGTTCTTGCCAAGAAATTTGTAATTTCACGGTATGACATCATGCCTTCAGGAAGCCTCGGATATCTCAGTATCTAGGCAGTGAACCTACTTAATTCTGATGTTTTTAGAAATGAAATTGATTTTTGCATTCTCTTGATATGAACTTTTTGGAAAACAACAGAAAAACATTAAATTATCGCTTTTCAAAGTGCCATTTTGTGCTTGATAAGAAGTGATGGCCCTTAGACAGAGCGTTCCTATAAAAAATCTAGAGTGAGCTGGCCTCTATAAAAATTAAAATTAGCACCAGTATTTAATTGTCTGTTAGATGTTAATTTTCATTAAGCTTAAGGTTCTACGGAAAAAGGCGAAATTCGCCCCTAAAGGCTTCAATGTCTGAATGAAAAAAGGCACTATGGTAAAGAGGTAGTTGAAAAATGGGAGGGAGCTGGCCTCTACAAGTTGTTGATTGAGATAGATTAGCGTATTGACTTTCGATTGATATACCTCATTAAGCATATGGTTTTACGGAAAATGGCTAAATTTGTCGAAAACTATCTCGTTTTTGTTATAAACCGTATATTAGAAATGGCGACGTGCGCCACTTCCGTCGCCGACGCCATTTGGACGCCATGTTGCCCGAGATTTGAGCGCTTGTACGCCTTGGCTTCTAAATTTCAAGATGAATATTGAAGGCAGAAGACGGCGTTGTGCATATGGGGGGCACTCACTGATTTCAAGTGAGTCGGAAGTGCCAAAATTGAACAAGATTGGTTCCAAGTACGTTTCGAAGTCCGTCATTCAGGCCCTGGGAATGGGTGACCCTGGCAAGCTTGCTGGACGATACCTGTGTCATAAGTGTATTTCCTATGGCAGGTCGCAGATGAAAATTGTTCAGGTGAGATTACTTGACTGATGTGTTGGCTCATAGCTGGGCTCTCCATTGATGTTTGCAGTGTGAATTTACTCTTGTGCTGTGCAGATTCACAGGAATTTGTATCAGTCTGGGAGGTTTGGTCAATCAGTCATTTTTATCATATGCTATTTTTGTCACATGTGCTAAAAATGACAACGATTCTGCTATTTTTGGGAGCGATCCAGTCTGCAAAACGTGGCAGGGTTCGACAAGATCTAGTTGGGGCAGACACATGCTGCGTTCGGATGGGCGGTTTCGTTTTTTCATCGGGGATCAGGTACTCTCTTTGCAGACGTCACCCGAGCTGCCATATCTATGTCTCACTTGCGCAACAATTGTCCTTTCATGGTTAAATATATAACAAAACATATCTAACCTGACCTTACCTTACCTACAACCTACAACCTACCAACCTACAACCTAACCTACCAACCTACAACCTACCAACCTACCTAACTGGATATGGCAGCTCGGGTGATGTCTGCTAAGAGAATCCCAGGGAATATTCCTCAGACCGTTTGGGCAGGCTTCTACGGAGAGTGCGCAAAAACTGTAGCCACTAGGTATATCTCACTCTGCATTTTGGCCTTTGGGTCCGCGCTACTTGGAGATACTCCTTAGTCCTTTCTAGCCTAACCAGTTACCAAACCAAATCAAATCAAACAAAACCAAACCAAACCAAACCTGACCTAATCAAACTCATAAATAAAGCTGGTCCCGTAGCTCAGTCGGTAGAGCGTTGGACTCCGCGAGGTGAGAGCTCGTGTCCCGGTATGACGGTCCGGGTTCGAAGCGCGACGGGCGCTCGATGTTTATGAGCCTCCTGGCGGGTATGGTTGCGGTTGGTGGCAGGCCGTAGCCAGGCGAAGTCAGTGAGGGGACCGGCCGTGCGCGGCTATGTGCGTAGTTAAACTTCTGACTCTAAATTCTGCCATGCACCAGGAATTGCACAATCGGAGGGTAGAGGGCAGAGCCATCGCAACGAGCTCTGCTTAGCGGTGGCTCTGTCCTTGAGAATCCTTCCATTCAAAAGGTTCGGACTAAATTTATAAAAAATAAATGTGCCTCCTTATAATCCTTATGATGGTTGCCGTCCGGCCAAATGATAACTATTACGTACCTAATAATTACCTAATACCTAATGATTACTTTGCTTTCTTTCAAAATCAATTAATGACTATTTTGTTTTCTTCCAGGAGAGCCAGCGCCATTCCGGATCTGAAAATGCTCTGCATGTCAGCATTGTCTGGTGAGGATTACCAGCAACTGATAAGCACTTGGTAGTGCTGCCAATGTTTGCCATTGATAGTGTTTATATCATAGAGCTTTGCCTTTCACTGTCAATTGTTGATTTCTTTATTTGGGACACATTTCTATGCTTTGCCATCTGATCTTTTTGGCCCCCCTTTCAGACATACTATGCTACCCAGTAGGTACCCTTATGGAGTGGTTATGTATCTTACCCAGTCAGTAAGGTCCTTTCCACATATCTGGAAGTAATCTAAATCCTTTCACTTCTGCACATGCAGGGGTCACCCTGTTGCTCACTTGTTTTACAGCCCTATCCTGATTTGCCATCTTTTTGGCCACCTTTCAGACATACTATGCTACCCAGTACCCTAATGAAAGTGTGGTCAAAAATATTGCAAATCAGGATAGGGCTGTAAACAAACGAGCGACAGGGTGACCCCTGCAGAGTCCTTGTTGGAAGCTGGAACTAACTGAACTCAATTAGTACAAGACATGGAAGACATCAAATAAATAACAAATGAGTATGAAATGTATTTCATTATCCATTGATATTTATTTAGACAACTTAATAAATGACGTTGAATGAAAGAATTATGACATTTCATACTCACTCGTTATTTATTTCGAGACCTTCACCTTTGACATCTTTGTTAAAGGGACCCTCCCACCTTAACATTAGATTTGAGTTGAGATAGCCAAAATGGGGTCCCTGGCTCACAATTACTGGTTTGAGCACTCACAACATCGAGAAATGCCTCAAATCGAAAATATCTAATTTCAAAGTTGTAGCACTTTGGATTCAGAGGGGCTAATGCATTTGATACCCCTCTGAATGTGTGACGTCAGCGCGCAGATCTAACGATTTTTAAATGTTTTGACTAAAACGTTTGATAGCATGCGGTGGTATATGCTGCTTTGCGCGCAGCAAGTGCCGCACTTTCAGCTGCCAAACTATTGCTTCCAAATAAAGTCGCTAGGAACAGCGGAGATCCCAAAAAGTAAACAAAAGTAAAAGTCTAATATCTTGAAAACCGGTGAATATTTTTCGATGAAATTTGGTAGATATTCTTTTTCGCTCTTTCTGAACCGAGCGACATCACTGTCATGCCAATTCATTAACTTTTTTGAAGGTGGGAGGGTAATTTTGTGTACATTTGCAAATATGTTGTAATCCATTTTCCTCCTTTCACAGGAGATTGCAATATCCTAATCAATCACTACCCTCTAATGACCAACGGGTATATGCTCAGCACATCATCATATCACCGTTCCACACACCATCACATTACAAACATCATCACGCACCAATTAGTATGCGTTTCTGCTCTGAAATGGGTACATTTCAATGCTGTTCACAACCATTAAATCACATGTTCAATCCACTCCTGTTCGTCTGCTCAGTCACCCGGAGACCTTGACCTACTCCTGGTCCTCTACGCCCGCCAGCGCCGCTTCGTCTGCGGCCCCCGCCAGCGCCGCTTCGTCTGCGGTGCCGACCAGCGCCGCTTCGTCTGCGGCCCCCGCCAGCGCCGCTTCGTCTGCGGTGCCGACCAGCGCCGCTTCGTCTGCGGTGCCGACCAGCGCCGCTTCGTCTGCGGTGCCGACCAGCGCCGCTTCGTCTGCGGCCCCCGCCAGCGCCGCTTCGTCTGCGGTGCCGACCAGCGCCGCTTCGTCTGCGGCCCCCGCCAGCGCCGCTTCGTCTGCGGTCCCCGCCAGCGCCGCTTCGTCTGCGGTGCCGACCAGCGCCGCTTCGTCTGCGGCCCCCGCCAGCGCCGCTTCGTCTGCGGTCCCCGCCAGCGCCGCTTCGTCTGCGGTGCCGACCAGCGCCGCTTCGTCTGCGGTCCCCGCCAGCGCCGCTTCGTCTGCGGTGCCGACCAGCGCCCTTCTGCATGGTACCTCGCCTGATGTAGCCACGCAGGGCGGAGAGTGGAGGTGAGCTATTACTGATTAGTTTTGTCCAGGTAAATTCAGAAATATCATGTTCATGCCACATCATCAGAGTCGCCTCACCAATCAACATAATATTTTCAGGGATGAGGGTCCAGGGGACCCATTTGTATTTGTTCTCACTTCTCACCTTGTTTCTTTGTTGAATCTGTATCCCTTAGTCTCTTTACAAACCAAACTATGTACTTTTTCATGGATAGAATTGCTATATGCCATGGGATGTACAAAAATGCAACTTTGTGCCTAGCTCTAGGCTAATAAGAAGTGTATTTCATTAAAATATCATGTTTTGTTTGTATGTTGAATGGTTTGCATATGAAGATAATTTCCAGCGGCTGCTAATATGTTATGCAGCCCTCTCCTTTAAGTGACCATCCCACCTTAGCATTAGTTTTCAGTTGAGATAGCAAGATTGGGGTCCCTGGCGTGCAATTACCGGTTTGGGTACTCACAACATCGAAAAATGCTTCAAATCGAAAATATTTGATCTCAAAGTTGCAGCACTTGGATTCAGAAGGGCTAATGTTTTTGAATGTCCCCCTCTGAATGTGTGACGTCAGCGCAGATCTGACGATTTTAAAATATTTTACTAAAACGTTTGGTAACACCTGGTGATATATGCTGCATTGCGCGCAACATCTGCCGCACTTTAAGCATGCCAAATTAGGTATTGCTTCCAAATGACGTCGTAGGAACAGCGGAGGTCCCAAAAAGTAAAAAGTAATACAGCAGCTGGTCACAGCTGGACCAGTGGCGTGTGTTACATACACGCGCTTAGACAATGTGTACACCCTTCCTAAATCTGGTTGGTTTCTTTTCAGGGGATTGTGTTTATCTATTGGTCATCATGCATCAGCAGTGTGCGTCCATCTTGTGCTCCACTGACCTAGGCGCAGTTCCATGCTGTTCATTGCCATGCAGTCCCATGTTCAATCCACTCCTGTTCGTCTCCTCAGTCACCCGGAGACCTTGGCCTACTCCTGGTCCTCTACGCCCGCCAGCGCCTCTTCGTCTGCGGCCCCCGCCAGCGCCGCTTCGTCTGCGGTCCCCGCCAGCGCCGCTTTGTCTGCGGTGCCGACCAGCGCCCTTCTGCATGGCACCTCGCCTGATGTAGCCACGCAGGGCGGAGAGTGGAGGTGAGCTACAGAGAACGTCTCCGAAAGGAGCAGCCTACCTGCAGCCGGGAGGCCAAGCGTGCGCGCCTGTACGTGCATCCTGGTGATTAGACTTCAGCGTGGCCCTGCTTTGTGTGCCGCGCCGGCTGTGGCGGAAGCCGGCGGCGGCGTGCCACAAGACTTCAGCGTGGCCTCGCTTTGTGTGCTGCGCTGGCTGTGGCGGGAGCCGGCGGCGGCGTGCCGCAAGACTTTAGCGTGGCCTCGCTTTGTGTGCTGCGCCGCTGCGCTGACTGTGGCAGGAGCCGGCGGCGGCGTGCCGCAAGACTTTAGCGTGGTCTCGCTTTGTGTGCTGCGCCGCTGTGCTGGCTGTGGCAGGAGCCGGCGGCGGCGTGCCGCAAGACTTTAGCGTGGCCTCGCTTTGTGTGCTGCGCCGCTGCGCTGGCTGTGGCGGGAGCCGGCGACGGCGTGCCACAAGACTTTAGCGTGGCCTCGCTTTGTGTGCTGCGCCGCTGTGCTGGCTGTGGCGGGAGCCGGCGGCGGCGTGCCGCAAGACTTAAGCGTGGCCTCGCTTTGTGTGCTGCGCTGCTGCGCTGGCTGTGGCGGGAGCCGGCGGCGGCGTGCCGCAAGACTTTAGCGTGGCCTCGCTTTGTGTGCTGCGCCGCTGTGCTGGCTGTGGCGGGAGCCGGCGGCGGCGTGCCGCAAGACTTTAGCGTGGCCTCGCTTTGTGTGCTGCGCTGCTGCGCTGGCTGTGGCGGGAGCCGGCGGCGGCGTGCCGCAAGACTTTAGCGTGGCCTCGCTTTGTGTGCTGCGCCGCTGTGCTGGCTGTGGTTGGAGCCGGCGGCGGCGTGCCGCAAGACTTTAGCGTGGTCTCGCTTTGTGTGCTGCGCCGCTGTGCTGGCTGTGGCGGGAGCCGGCGGCGGCGTGCCGCAAGACTTTAGCGTGGCCTCGCTTTGTGTGCTGCGCCGCTGCGCTGGCTGTGGCGGGAGCCGGCGGCGGCGTGCCGCAAGACTTTAGCGTGGCCTCGCTTTGTGTGCTGCGCCGCTGCGCTGACTGTGGCGGGAGCCGGCGGCGGCGTGCCGCAAGACTTTAGCGTGGCCTCGCTTTGTGTGCTGCGCCGCTGCGCTGGCTGTGGTTGGAGCCGGCGGTGGCGTGCCGCAAGACTTTAGCGTGGTCTCGCTTTGTGTGCTGCGCCGCTGTGCTGGCTGTGGTTGGAGCCGGCGGTGGCGTGCCGCAAGACTTTAGCGTGGCCTCGCTTTGTGTGCTGCGCCGCTGCGCTGGCTGTGGCGGGAGCCGGCGGCGGCGTGCCGCAAGACTTTAGCGTGGCCTCGCTTTGTGTGCTGCGCCCCTGCGCTGGCTGTGGCGGGAGCCGGCGGCGGCGTGCCGCAAGACTTTTATGGTATTGGTGATCAATGATCATTCACATTCGTGATCGTGGTAACCTCGGTTATTTGCCGTTTGTGAGACTGTTTGGCGCGGTGAGAACTGATATTTGCAGAGCTGAGTTCGGACCGAGCATGTTGGTTCTGCGCTGTTGGTTACTACTCTGTGCTCGTGGTAAATTCACATTATCATTTATACAATTAATGACAGCTCAAGTTTCGCCTCAGTTTTGCGTGTGAGTGGTGAAGCTTGTTTCCGTTTTAAAGTCGTTAATGTGTGTTTTGTGCGCATATTTTTAACCCGGACTTCTTGAAGCATTGAGATGAATATACGAATCGCTGGGAGGGATGCAGATTTTTGGCTCCTCATCAAACTTCCGAATGGATGGTCGAGACAGATTTTTTTGGTGCATTCTCCATCAGTAGGTCAACAAGTCACGTCGATGTCAGGTTAAGTCTGAGACAAGTCACTGCATTGGGTTTAGAGACCAGCTAACGTCATTCAATATTGGAGCGTCCGAGTTCTTAAATGTATGTGGAAACCACTGAACTCTAATGGTGGAAACCGATTTCGCTGCGTGTGGTGGGAGGGTGCTAGCAGCGGCCGTGAAACGTCGCTCACGACGACGTACAGTACGCCGGGATGTCATATAATTAAAACTTTCAGAAAGCGCGTTCTCTCGGCCTTCATTTACACTGGAGATAATAGGTGGACAACCAGCACCATTTCAGAGTTATTTTATTTACAGAAGCGGTTTTGCATCAAAGTCCCTGCCGTAAGTGTTGTGTCTATGCCTGCCGCTGGATATTCGGCATCAGGGATATATAGTTGCGGATGTAAAATAAGAAGCGATGCCAAAATTAGATCAACCAGGAAAGCGACTCTGCTAAATTCAATTCTATCCATTTTCTCACAAATACGCCTATGCTTTACTACGCGGAGAATATGCTATTTCTATTTACTGGTAAAGACTCAATTTATAATTTAAGCCTTTTGATAGCTACTTGATTATACATTGAATAACACATTATAATGATTATATTTTGACACAATGTAATAATATAAAGTGTCAATTTATAATAATAGAATTTGAAACATTGGTTAATTTTTAATGTGAACGATATGTACCGTACGCAACTGTTCAAAAGCAGCACACGCATCAATCAGCTGACGCCACATTCCCGGTGGCGCTGCTCACGGTGCACGCCTGTCCAGACACATGCCCACGCGGCCAGGGCTCAGCGGCGACTCGCCCACACTTCCGGCCGCCGCGCCGGCCCACGCATGCACGTCTCCGGCCGCCGCACCGGCCTAGCCACGGGCGGTCCCAGCCGCGGTCGGAGGGGGGACGGCTCAGGATACCACAGTGAGTGCCGAAACCGGTAATTGTGAGCCAGGGACCCCATTTTGGCTATCTCAACTCAAATCTAATGTTAAGGTGGGAGGGTCCCTTTTGTGAAAATCTTGCTACGATTTTTACACCTTTTGATGGTGCATTGGTTCGTTTTTCAAAGTTCTGATTGGAATGTTTCTAAGGTGGTATGATATCCTTAAAAAGTGATATTGTGACTGGGTAGCGGTCATTCAGGAATACTGGCGATGTGTTGGCATAATGGATGCATTCACAATCTAATGCATTGTTTGAGCCAGAGAGTTCAATGGGGCGGCCACCACGTCGTCCAAACGCAAGTCGGTGTAGGGATTCAATATATATTGTCCAGTGCTTGGATGCCGGTCACACAGGGGCATGGACAGTGCAGTAGAACTTGCCGCAGGGTATCCGACTCCTCCCTACACAGGAGGAGTCGGATACCCCCAAGGCTATAGAACTGATACCCCGCGGTCACGCGTCCAAGAAACACTTGTTTTTTTTTTTGTTCAGTAATAATGCAAACTTGTGAAAAATGATATTTGTTTCCCCCACAGCACCTCTCCTAGAAGGAAGAGAAAACTCACATACCTAAGGAAGTAGAATCAACAGCGGTGGTCGAGACGTGTCGTCCTGGCTCCAGATACAATGGAACGGATCACGAAGTTCTCCCACGAAGAAGGCGTGTCACCTACAAGTGCCGCAATAACGCTACTTTTCGACAGGTGTTATTTTTATTAATTGTTGATCGAAGTCATTTCATTTTAATTTATTGTGCCATTATCATTTTTTTAATATGGTACTCCATTGTTACCACTACATCCCTTGTAGTGTTCTGGTGATGTGGGGTTCATAACTGTGGTTTGTTCAAAATTGCACGACATATTTTGGTCACAGGATAGCTGTGGAATACAGTACTGTATAATTTGAACAACTATGGTATGGATTGAGTTCACGTGCTTCACCCACACCATAGTCTATTTTTTAATTGCTCAACGAATGAACGTCCCTACTTCCTTGGTGTAGCTCAAGTAACACAAATGATTTTGATTGGGGATCCATAAGCAGAAGCATCTAGTTTTGATGCATCCATCTTTATTTTCATCCCATACCTTGGCCAGCTCACCTGTCTGGAATCAGTGCATTTTATTCAACCCATTTTATTGGAATTTGTTTCACCATGGATGAATTCAATCAAAAACTGACACAAAACCAGTGAATGAAGCTTTATTGCTGGGTTTATTTGTAAAATACTGGATAATGCCTATCAAACCACAATTAGATCATAGGCAAGAAGTGAAATTATACGAAGAAATGGACCCAAAAAGAGCAGGAGTGTATTGTCACAAGCGGTAACAACGTGATTTTCCAGTGATTGAAAACTAAAGCATCGGTATAGCAAAACAGAAATGAAATGTCGTTTTATGTCTCAGCATAGACATCTCGCACGAACTACCCACGCATGTTCCCCGCAAGCCCCGAAGTCAGTATGGCCGTTACGGCGAGTTGGTCTCGGCGCATCTACACTGTAAACCAAATCTACAAGTTGGCTCCTTGTTACAAGTTTGGTTCCAATTCGCATAGGCGTCACTTTGTCGATACCTTGTCGATTCACCAACCCCAGGCTTGTTGGCCAGCAAACTAACAGTTTGTCTACAAGTTTGGTTCCAATTCGCATAGGCGTCACCTTGTCGATACCTTGTCGATTCACCAACCCCAGGCTTGTTGGCCAACAAACTAACAGTTTGTCTACAAGTTTGGTTCCAATTCGCATAGGCGTCACCTTGTTGAGTACTAGTCTGGGCCTTGTGAACCTACCAACTTCTGGATAGGCATAGCCGTTTCCTTGTCGGTTCAACAACCCCTGGTTTGTTGATGAACTAGCCTTTGACTGGGCATTGCTAGTTTACAAATTGTC